TTGGCATTATGTACGAGATATTGTATGAGCAATTTTTTTTCAATTATTTTGTTTATATACTTTTTAGAATACGCTATAATTTTCCACAATTATTCAACACTGGCTGTTCGCATAAAGTTAATACTCGCGGAGTGAAAATGCGTCGGCGGTGAAGCCATATTATTATATAGGTCTGTGCGTGGATGTAGTATGCAAATGGTTGACATAAAATGCAATTAAAGAGGACCTATTAAATCGTATTGCTCCTATGTGTATACAAAAATGACCCTAAACATTTTTTTTTACGGACTGTCCGACATTGAGTTTATAGAAAATAAAATATTATCCTCCTCTTTTATATTATCCGGGGCCCCTTTCACCCCGACATTGTTTGAAAAAGAAATTTGTCATTCGTGACCTCAACAAAGCTTTTCGAACCGATCACATTTCAGTTGAATGGGTTGACTTTATAAATTATTGACCCCAGGGACAAGGGGATAGCTTGGTTTTATTTACAGTTTTTCCACATAATTTAATCTTCTATTTTTTTCCCTCCACTAAACAAACGTATCAAGTTATTCGTCACCTGAATAAGTGTTCAGGAGAAATATTGAATTTATTTCATTTTTTTACGTGCAGTTATTCAGTTGAGCCAGTTTCCAGTTCATATGATTTTCAATTAAAAAAAATAAAAAAAGGCTATTTATATAACACTTGCATGTGATATGATGATGATGATAATAATAATAATAATAATAATAATAATGATATAAATGAATATAATATCAAGTTGGTTTCATGATATCATTGAACGTTTATAAGCTTGTTTCAATAATTTAATTGTGCATATTATACTAGTCTAAAATCTATATAGAATTACAATTAAAAATCTAAATCTAAATCCTAATTATTTTTACAACATAACGCTATTCAATACATTCTCATAATATAATATTATATTATATTGATTGTGAATCGTGATTTTATTTAATATTGTCAATATACCTTAATACTTAATAGTAAGATTGATTTGATTTTAAAATGTCTCAATGCTGACAAAATAAAATATAAATAATAATATATAACGTATGATTTGAAATTGAAACTTATGTATAGCTCTGTCGTGTAGCGTGTAGGTATTGATATTTAAATAATATGCAATGTTGGTAGAAATTGTAATAACATTATTTAGAACACTCCTTATGGAAATTATTTCATTATGTTCAAGTAAAAAGATTAAAGTAATGAACTTTTTATTATATACATTATACTTACACCGTAGAAAAGTTAAGACATTAAAGGTAATGGTTTATGATGAATATATGTACATAATATACATTTAGTTTGAATTTAAAAACTCACAATTCAAACTCATACACCGTATTAATAAACAGTTACACTACTTATATCATAGTAATTTGCAGGAAAATGAATTTTCCATTCTTCTTTATATATATAACATTTAAGTATAGCCGGCAGGAAGAAGGAAGAACAATAATTCTTAAATATTTATACCAATATCTGTGCTCAGATTTGTATAATAATATGCTCATGCAATAAATGACATAGGTACTCTTTTTCATTTCATATTTTGTTAATATTCCCGGTTACTTGGTAGTTGGTATTAAATTTAAAAATATACTGTATAATATATTTTACTTCCATGTGTATACCGTATATATATTACGTATTTATTTTACGTGGTTTATTTCATTCTTTTCAATATAAAATACAAATTCTATCTGACTTAGCGTATATATATATTATACGTTCATTATTGAAGGTTTGGATTAAAAAAATTATATATATATATTGTTAAAGTTATTTAAATTTTGTGCTTAACCACGTATATCAAATTTCCAACGTTACTTTCCTTATGCGTTTAATATTATAATATATTATTCTAACTCATTTTCCTATTTTTATGTGTATCGATATACCATTTTTACATTAAAAATTACACACACGGGAGGTAATACGTATAGTATTATGGATGCAGATCATTTTTATCTATCTATTATAGAAAATAAAATGGTAGTAGTTGATCGTACATATAATAATATGTATGGCACTATATGGTGTATAGCATACACCGCATACTATACAAATATACATAATAATGTATATAACCATATTTTTACAGAAAATTTAATATTCATAATTTATCATTTAATGTTATGTTTTGTAATAATATTCTTATTTTTCGTTTTTTTATTTTCTGTTTTAATTATGTTGAAAATTTAAATCATTTTTTTTTTCAAAGGCAAACGTTATAATTGTATAATGTGACTAAAATGTTTTCGAGAACCTACTGCATTTATAATGCTTTGATAGAAACAATACCATATATATTTTATATTTAAAGAGGAAATTGCAAGTTAAATAATATGGTTCATAGTATTCCTACTAAACCCTCATTAGTGAGAAAATGTTCAAGAGTTGAACTGAAAATATAATTATACCTAAAACCTATAGGTACTCCTTGAACAAGGTAAATTTCTGAGTGCACATTGATAAAACCCGTATGGATCGCAAGCACTATTCAAGTCACCGAGCATAAAAACATAAATTAAAATAAACATACACACGTTGCATACACTGCACCTAGAACGTGTGCTAAGCATACAAATTGTAAACTGTAGTTTAAGTGTGTTTATTACTTGCATGAGTGAGTACACACACCAACACCAATCGCTAATTTGAATTTGTATGACCCGAAATAAATTTCCGTGCGAAATTCAGCCAAATAAATATGGCCAATATAGCATATGCATATATTATTATAGTCTATATTGGAGTTTATAGGTATAATTGTATCAATATAAATAACTGTTACGGTACATATGCACTCCAGATTAAAAAAAATAAAAATCGTGATAAGTGAAAAACCAAAGAGCGAATAATAAACGTATCAGAAACGTATACCGTAAATATTGTTGTTCGAACAGAGTTTTGCTGCGTTCTACAAAAGGGTGTTGATGAAATTTCAACGTTTTTATCGCCCGAAAGTTATTTAATATTTACTAAAAGCTATACCCACGTGGCTCTTCATAACTCGTTTGCTCTGTATCCTATATACCGTTATGATAATATTGTTTTGTTCGCCAATAATGATTTATAAATAGTATTATCTGCGATGCAATAACATTGATTGTTATACAAACTTTCCTACAAGGATTTCCAATCTTAAACTTTTGAACACTTGCCGATATAACTTTTCCATTTCATCAACGATGTTATCATATAAATATGTTCGTTTTGTTTGCTACCGTGGTGTAAATAATAATATATTAACAACCGGGACATCTGTTTATCTGGAGTATTTGGTAGTGGCTTTGATCCTTCAACTTAGATGGTAGAAGGATAATATTTTTTTATGACATTGAGTATGACATTGACATATGATTGTCACTCCATAAATAATAGTTCATTCGGAGTAAACACATAATAATTTGAAACATACAATTATTTTTATTGTGTTTCAAATTGGAAGATTAGCTAAACTATTTTTGTTTAATAAATCAGACAGTAAAAGCTTTGACCTAACCTTTGACTTGCACGTGCAATCATGTGAGCAAAGCGAGAAAGGAACGCTCAACACTAAATCTCTGTTGTCCGTTCTTTCTGCTTTTTTCTTTTCGTTTAAACAAAATTCTTTTCGAAAAACACAGCTTCATTGGTGTTAGTCAAACAGTTTGTCTTCTCATGTGGAAAATTTGATTTCTTGTGAAAATGAATAAAATGTCTTGTTCGAGATTAAAAAAGAATATGAGATGATTTGTTGTGTATTATAGTTCTTGAATTTATATTTACCTACTTTTCTTCCAATTCATGTCTATGATAATATAAGACGTGTACAAAACCACGATTGTAAAATATATTTGAAATTGTACACCTGACTAAATATTATTAACTATCGACGTTATTTATGGAACTCACAAAACATTATATTATGGTACTATTGTAGACATTTCTGTAACGAGAAATATAGATTTTGCATTTTAAGAGTTATATTTGAAAAAAAAAACATTTTACCAATAATATTAAATTTATGTCTACGATATTGGTAGGTGTATATATATTATATAATAGTGTTTTTCTTCCATTAATGGTTGATAAATATTGTCAGCCGGATTCATCTGTAAACATTTTCCTGTTCAATAGTATTTCAATGCGTATTGTTTTACCTCAGATAAATTGTTTGGTTTTTGTAATTTCGATATCGTTTTTGTATATCTTTTTGTATAGGTGCGTTGGTATGTATCACAAATGGAGATTATCTAAATAATATAAACAGAAAACAACGCTGTCTTGGACTGCTGCAAGTTTTGAAATTGGGGCTTATTCTTGTCAAAATAGTTAACTTATTTATGACGAAAACTTTAAATAGGTCTAAAATATTATGGTTGATAGTAAAAACTATTTTTTTTCACTGTTGTGCAAAGCAATCTTTTGGGAGGAGTTTATTTTGTTAAAGTGATTGTAAACAATATAAACGGTGAATTGACAATATCATTGATTTGTTGTACAACACTGTTTACAATATTGTTCGTTCCATAAAAATATGTAATAAAATTCCGTCGTGTGTTATTATTATTATGAATATTGGCGTGTTATTTGAATACCGAAATGACTATTGACTATGGGAGACGTTTTCAAACACAAACATAATGTTTACTCACCAATTTAATATGTATTAATATCTACTGTTGTCTAGTTTCGTGGCTAACCTAGGTACCAGATACGATATCAAATAACTAATATCATCTACTAATATATAAGATACCTATACTTAGAATATTCCTATTTTAGTTCTGAAGATATAATCTGACCTTTTAGGTTTTTTAAATTGTTAAAACCTGTCTAGATATTTATTTATTTATTCTATTTTAATACGGGCCGCAGCCCAAAAGTACAGAAAAATAAATTTACATATTATAAGTGAATTCAATGTGTAGTAGACATAATAATTAATATAGAGAAAGGAAAGAATACAAAAGAAAAGAATTACAGAACTTAACTTAAAAACTAAAAGACGGATCCTCATTGGCAATACGCATCATCCTATTTAGTGGTTTGTTTCGTGAATAATTTGTCGTACACATTGGTATACTGAAAGGATAGGAAGAACGGACCTGGACACAGGGAATTTTAAAATTTACTTTAGATAGAAGTTCAGGACAGTCGATCGACCCATTGATGAGCTTGACTAGGAAGACTTTGTTAATGTTGATACGTCTATCGGCCAAAGACTGTAAGCCTAGCCTACCTATTACTGGATCATAATCATGAGGTCTATGTTCGATATTTAATAGATATGCTGCAAAGCTCAAAAACTTGCGTTGGACTCTCTCAAGTTGATTCATATTGCTTGTGTTGTGAGGGTTCCATATAATTACAGAAAATTCAAGAATTGATCTGACGATCGCACAATATAAGGCTTTTAGTGGAGTTATCAACTTAAATTCGTTACAAACCCGCTTAATTATATAATATATTATCATAGTGTATTATATTATATTATTGGATTGGAAATTATTCTCTTATTTTAATTTTTTTTACTACCTAAGTTAAAATAAGTGATTATTATCACTTGAATAAATAAGTGAATATATATTAAAAATGAAGGTATTATGATTTTAAGAATTAAACGATTGATTATATCATTGGTTATATTTCATAAGTTATTATTATTAGAATTTTAACTAAACATTTTTCGAGTATTATTCTATATTTAAAATCATCAATAAAATTGCTTTTTTCACATATTTTAGAATATTTTAGTACATTTTGATAAGAATAATTCAACGTGTCTCAAGCTAATAAAACCAAATAGGTATATATTATTATATACCTACTTACATTACGATAATTAATATTTATTAAATTTATCTAAGAATAATAACGTTGAATATGACATAATAAACAGTACGATTGTGTATTCTTTATTCTCATATTATACATTTCAGTTCATGGAACAAAATAGTATAGATGTGTACAATAAATCTATTACATACATGTGTTTTGAATGTATGAAAAACATTCAAGTAAATCATATTTACTTAAACAGTCGAGAGTCGTAGACATCATTTTTGAATATAGTTGTTTGTTTACCTAAAATAAACATACCTATGTAGTATGCATGTACACATACAAGCAGAATACTATTATTTTATTCATATGTTGTTAAAGAATAGTATATAAGTCTATATTCATACTTGGTAATTTTGAAACTATCTGGATGATCCGCTGTCCAATTTTACCGGTATTCGATATATCTACCTAAAGTATTTGTATTTGGAAATGAATATCATTAAAATAATATATTGTATTATCTACTGTATAATCTTACTAATTCTTTGGTTAGATATGTTGTTTTGAACGGATCATGCAAACGTAACACACTTAAAAAGCAGGTAAGTGGATGTCGCTCTGTTGTACAGTAGGTTACAAGTGGGTCAATGTATAATGGCGATTGTATTAAACTTGAATTCAATGATATAATATCATTGTATAATAAAAACGATTCTGCGAGGAGACGGTTTGTCAGTCTGGATATTTTATATTGTTATTATTTATAGGTCTATATTTATCTATGGTGATAACCACATCGTTAGAAATTAAAATCCTGGTTTTAGCGGTTTTTCGTAATTTGGCTGTGGTTTTTTCTGTGGCATTAAACAACTATTGAGAAAATCGAAAAATTACCTGTTTAAAGTACCATCTTGATGCAATTTTCTAAAAAATAAGATACCATAATATTTTGAAATCGAAGCACTCCTTCTAGTAGACATTTTGTATAAAAGATAAATAAAATAAAATAAACACCATTGTAAGACCACTAGCTAAGTCTCTCCGCTCAGAATCTAAAAATAGTAACAAATTAATAACATTTTAAATTTTAACGATATCAAATCGATCCATTGATTCTTTAATGATGAAATGTATCATTAAAGAAATGATTTTCAATGTTTGTGAATTAGGACCCAACTTGAGATAACGCGTATGTATCATACAATATATTATGCGTTGTATTTTAAACATCATCTCAAAAAACAAATGGATATATTTTAGTTTATAACAGATCGATTACACAATAAATATTTGGCTGGAATAAAAAAAAAATACACACGACAATTATTTGAACATTTCTGCAAATTTTTAGTCAAATTATATATTATTGATATGCGCACTTGCAGCAAAACAAAATTCAATTTAAACATTCACGGGAACGCGAAAATCACTTAAAAAATAATACTCCCCCCTCCACATGCCACCGCTTGACAGAATACAGACGACCGTCTATATATGCACATGTAATAATAATAATGCGCTGTAGGAAATTGTAATATTCCGGCCTTTGATATTTGCTGATGACATCTGTGCGCGTCGCCCAAAAGCTCCGAGCAAATAAAATAATAAATAAGACTTCCACTCCGGTCGTTCGGAAGAATTTGTTGATTCCGTTCACAATATCAAGTACCTACCTACCGATCACCCTCCCCGACTATATTCCACAACCGGAACTGGAACGCCTCTTCCCGCGCTACTGCCGCCGAAACGTCATTCGTCCTTAAATCAAACGGTCTAAGTCCATTAAACGATGACAATGGGGTAGATCAGCGACCCCGCCGTTGACGACACTGGCTGGCGTTGGCGTCCGGGCCCGATTGACATAGAGAATGTGAGTTTTCGAGTCGAGCTCCTTAAATGTTTGGTCTTCACTGTTTCGAGTGCCGTTCGGTGTCTCCTGCTTATAGTCCTTGAACGTCCTCGATTATACGTCATGGCGTTTTTATTTGCTCTTTCTCTCCCCGTCATCACCTCTATTCCGCCAACAACAATAAAAAAAAAATGTACAAGCAGAAATATTATATTGTGACAATGTTTTGTAAATAAATTACAGTATTTAATGTTCCGGCAGAAATTATTACCCCCGGTGGGAGATGTATATACCTACCAGTCCCCCCCTAACATGACATTTTTACCGGGGGGCTACTATATCCTAGGATATTTATACCCCCCTCAAAACTATATTTTTACTGGGGGGGGGGTAACTTTATGCCAGGATATATTCACCCGAGGGTAAACTCGTATATTTCACATTGTCCTAATATATTTATCCCCGGTAACTAAAACCTAGGTCCTAGGATATATTTACCTAGGGTAAATATCGCCTGTTACAAATTATTTCTACAACAAATAAATAAGCTCCCAAAAGTTGGTATAAATATTCTGGAAAATTTAGTGCATCGTCACACATAATGGCTGAATGTCTGCACGTCGTTAGCATCATCAACTAAGTACATAATTGTATTATTTTTTTACGTACTAATAAACTAAAATTAAATTAAAATCAAGCAATATGAGTTGCTACAATCTGCCCTAAGTCTGCAAAAAAGTAAATATTAATTTAATATTATTCTTTATTTTATAATTATAAATTAATTATATTTTTAATTACGAGCAGAGCTATTTCACATTTATGTGTTAATTTGTTTGTATCCTTTTAGGAATCATTACAATTTATCACACTAAAATTTAGACTTAAGAGAATGATATTTTGTAACAAATTTGATCTTCTTGGTACTTTAAAGGATCCAAATATTTTTGATTTCTTTATTCAGAAATTTGAATTTTGAATTTTTTTAGTTATTTTATTCGACAAATGTTAATGTTGTTTTTTATCTGAAAAAATCTTACAAATGTAATTGGTTCTTCATACGTTTTTCAAGCTTAAAGCAATTTAAATATATCGAAATACATGAGTTCAATATTTTTTTTAAGCGTTTGAAGTTAAAATGGTTATGTAATTGGATATTCATACAAAAAATAACGATTTAAAATTTAAAATTTTAGATTTTTACTTGTAAATCGAAAATAGTAATTGTCGACACTTGAAATATTCTAATATTAGCTACTTAATTAATAATTATTTTGGATACACAATGTAATTTTCAAAGTATTTAGACTAATTTGAAACTATTTATACCTAGGACTTATTAGTAAGGTCTACGTTACCCGGTTATGCCAATATTGCCTTATAATAGTTTATAACGATAATAATATAATATGATATATTAAATCTATATACCTATGTATATACATAACTTAATAAACGTTTGTATATGGCTTATTGGAAACTGCTAAATCAATTAGCACAACATTTTGCACAGATATTCCTTGAGATTCGGGAAGACGTGTTCATATAGGTTTTCAACTCCTATAGGTTGCTTTGCTGTTATACGCATACATTTTAATGTTTAAATAATTATATATAGGGTTGGGATTAGTTTACAAAGTGAGGTACACCGAAGCAGATTTTCCCGTTTACTGATGTACCTACATTAAAACCGATGTATATCAATGTGATCGTATTTTATGTTCATTATTTTTTTCTCAGGTGAAGTCGGGTTGTACTGCTAGTTTATAATATAATATATGTACAACACTTATATTATTGAAAATTGAAAATAAATTACTACTATTAATATAAAATAATTATAAAATATCTTTAGAAATAGATGTGACCTACTGTCTCAGATCAGAATCGTTTTTCATACCTTTATGCAATAATTTATCATTAAATTCAAATTTAACAAAATATCCTACTCAACGTCAAGGTACGCTCGAAACATATTATACAACAGATAACAACAGCGTGACTTCAACTTTTTTCGAAGTGTAGTTGTTTTCATAACCATCTACAACTCATTTATGAACTTTTTTCTTGAGTAAACGTTATACTCGTATGTAGTAATACAAGTTCAGAGATAAATTAATACTAATCCATAGAAAATGGGAAAAATCATAAAAGACACTGTGACATAGTGCAAAAAGCAAGCAAAACAAATTTAACAGGTTATTTATATGCATAATATTATGTATTAATATAATTTATTATTATCGTTCAAAATTAAACTATACAATAATAATTCGGTAATGTTTGTGCATACATACATTTAAAAAGTATATTACATTTTATAATTTCAGAAACATAATTACCTATATTATTACTCTGCATTACAGATTTATTATTCACTAAATTAACTATCACAATTTCTGTTTTTCGAGGATGCTATTCGTGGATTTTGAAATTAGATTATAAGAATAGATGAATACCTATAATATACATTGGTATAATATAAAACATATCATAATTCATAATTATTACAGGATTACTTACGATGACCAAAGAAATATTTAATTTAATTGATCATCATATAATTTTTCTCAAAATAACAATTTTACAACCCAAAATGACAATATATATTAATTTATATAGTCACATTATATCATCTCTATAATAATTATTCTAAATACTTATAAAACTAATGTGACTGCTTATTCTATATTTTGAAACGTACTATAACCTTAAGACGGCATACAACGCTGTGCCTTTTTCTGAAATGTAAATGAAAAATAACGGATTCTTGAGTTGTGTCCGTTGGTAATCTTCAGATTACTATTTTGGTGAACAAATTATCATAAACGTCACACAAGT